AGCCGCTGACCAGCAGAGTCAAACAAGGGGCTACCACACCACAGCTCACCAACACAGCATTTCTTCTGCTGAAGATCACAGATCAGCAACTGCACTGAGCCAGAGAAGGAGAATTTGGTGAAATGGGCAGTGGTGTTTCTTCCTCCTGTACATTGCTGGCCTCTGAAAGTTTGGGTGGCTACTCTAGAAGTTCACAGAAGTATCAGCAACACTGCTAGCCTGTAGCTTAGATTCTATCTGCATGCAGCAAAAGTCACTGATCATTAACGGCACTCACTGGCATTTTGAAAGTCTCTTGTATATTCATGCAATGCAATAAATCCCTTGGATTTTAGGCTCCGAGTCTCTTTTTTGCAGGTCACACAGAAGAAATCGGACAACTTTCAGGATGCTGCTGCTGAGGTATATCTGACCCTAGGCACGGACTCCCACTTTTTTTTTTCTTTCATTCACTCATCTTTGAAAAAACACAGTCTTCTGAGCCAGCTATGCCGACAGTGTGCTGGGGCTGCAGAAAACAAAACTCAGTACTCCCACAGGGCAAGAAGCTGCAGCTGCTCAGGCAGTAGCCTCACACGCCCATCGTCATTAACCATTTGGTATGAGAGCATCAGAACCCAGTGCTGACATGAGGGATAACACAACTCAGAAATGAACCTCAAGAGTACAACCATAGCAAACTAAGAAACAGAAAATTAGTTCGCTTTGCCTTTCCAGTGCAGAACAGAGCCAAAGCGTGCTATCCACTTGGATCTGTTAAAAACAGTCCAACAGTGGGAGAGGGAAGCAAGAAGTCACAAAGCAAGCTGCTAAATCGCGAAGGAAATGACATGTTATTGGTGAGCACCGGTTGCAGTAAACAGATCGCCCTCCCAGGGCAGGATGCTGATGCTCAGACGGTGCGGGGCCAAGGGCTGAGGAGCCACACTGTGAGGAGGATGCGGGTTTTGCTTCAGCTGGGCGGGCAGCTTTCCCCTGGGCAGCTCCGCACACCTGTGGCGGTTCTGAGCCCCAGCTAGCCCCAGCCTTTACCTAAACCCAGCTCTAACTGCCCCCAGCCCTTACCTAAGCCCGGCCCCGGCCCCGACAGCCCCAGCACGGTCTCCCCGCTGCCCTCTCCCCGCAGTCTCGTCGTCCCCGCGCTGAGCTCAGCCCCCCTCCCGCAGCCCGCCGCTCCCCGGTCCCCTCCGTGTCACACGACAGCCGCGGATGGAGGCGGCGAAGAGAAGCCCCGCCGATGCGGTCGGATGGGCCCCCTCAGCCCGTTACAACTTTCCCGCCTCGCTGCTCACCGCCGTGGATCCGGAGGAGGAGGCGATGTACACCTTGATGACCATGCCGGCGGGGAGCGGAGAGACGCGGAGCCGGGCGGGCTGGCGGGTGGGTGTGTGCGGCGCAGCGCGGGCTGGCGCTGAGGAGGCGGCGGGAGGGCGGGCGCCGGGAGGACGATCCTGGGCTCGGTTCGCTCCGCCTCGCCGCTCTCACTGGGCTGCCGGCACGGCAGTCAGCGCCACCCGGCCCGGAAGAGGGGAATATGGTCACAAATAAATAAATAAAAAGGAAAGAAAGAAATGGGTGAGGCGAATTCTCGACGAACCACGCGAGACGTGCTTGGAGGAGGGGGCTGTCCGCTGCACGGCGGCCCGGAGCCCCGCTGGGGCGGTGAGGCGCGAGCCGCGGACCGTGAGCCGAGAGCCGCGAGCCATGGCGGCGGAGCCCCGCGCGCTGTCGCGGCAGCTTCGGGAGCTGAAAGCCTCAGACGCATCTCTGCTCACATCTCTGCCACGCCGGCCCTGGTTCGGGTTGAGGCAAAAATCAGCCGGTTCCACAGAGACTGGACTCGTATAACGCCGCAGTACAGGGAGTAGGAAAAAGCCCTCCTAAAGAAAACGTACTGAGCTGTATGCATATTCCGTGTGCGAATACAGGCGGTTAGATGCGATGCTGTCTGACACAGGAAAGAATTGAAGGAGCTAAAGATAAGGTTATGGAAGAGAGCAGCAGATATGAAGATGCTCTTGTCAGGAACTTTATTTTGAGAGTGAGAGGAGGGGAGAAACAGGAGGGTGGGAGCTGAGAGGCTCAGACACGGAGCGGGTTAGGCTCTAGCATCAGCTGATGGCCGTTGCCCTCATTCTGGGAGGAGATGCTCCGTTCCTCAGCGTTCTGTTGGAGTGAGCGCACGAGGCAGCACCTTGCCGTTCCAGCGCCCAGCTTCCTGCCCGTGGCAGCCTTAGATGCTGCAGTGGCTGGATTGTCACTTGGAGAGGTGAGAGGGGTCGAGTGGAATGGGTAGATGTTACTGTTTGGTAACTCTGAGGTGCCTCTTAAAATTTGTTTCATTGTAAAAGTTGCTCTCTGAGCAAAATGTTGGCCCACGCCAAAATAAAGGCAGGCTGAGCATATAGCAGAGTTCAGAGGCTCTGTTCTTTGGCTTCCCAGAATTATTGTAGCTCATCTTCCACACAGAGCATCAAAGAAGCAAGTGACAGTAGTGCTCTCACAGGACCCACCTGAGTCTGCCCACAGCCCCTCTGCTTCTCATCTCCTTGAGTTCTGTGACTTGGAAAGGGACTTTGCTGCTCTGTGAAAGACCCAGTGGGAAACTTGGAACCATAACGCACTGCAATTTCGCTGCATGGTATTTTATCGTTTCTATTAATTACAGCTGCTAGATGAGACATCAAAGAGTTCTTAATTATTATAGTCATTGTAGCATTTTATTAAGAGAAATTTATATTCAGCACCTGTCTCCCGCTTACCTCTATAGAAAAGTACTCCAACTACCACCTTAATTTTTTTTTTTTGTTAAACATTCTGATAGCAACTTCACAGAAAATGGAAAATGCTTTTCATGATAAACACAGCAAGCTGAAATTTTACCATCTACAAGCTAAGATTAAAGAAAGGTGTTTGATCTGCTCTTGGAAACAGGAGGAAGGTATTTTGAAAATGATGTTTCTCAACAGTAAAAGAACAATTCTGAAGATGACATGCCTAATTTTGGTATCTGATGCTTATCTGATTTTTTTGAGAGTGTCATAAGGTTTGTGCATGTTTTGGAAATGCAATAAGCCAAAATATTTATTTAGGATGATGGTATGCAATAAAAGCTGCCTAGTTCAGGGAATTTCAAAATTTAATGGAAATAAGTGGTGTGCTTTTTAAAACAAACAGATTAAAATTCTTCCAGGAATGTTTCTTCAGATGTGTTTGCACAGCTTCCTTTAGAACTGTTTGAGAAGTATGCTTATAATTCCCACCTCCTCTGAAGCACGATTCTCTGTAATCTGATTAACAGTAAGGAACAGCAGAGGCAGAAACTAAAGCTTATCAGCCAAAGTGAAAAAAATACAGGTGGAGACCTGGGTAGATATATTTACTTGAACTCTGTGCTCACCTGTCCTTGTGAGGCTGAGCGACTGCCCTCTGGCCAGCTCTCCTCACAACGCCCTGCAGCTTCTCAGAGCTGAAATTCGTCTGCAATGCACAGCACCCCGCCTCTTCTCCCTGAGAAAAAACCTGCCGTAATCATTGCTCTCAAAAGTGCACTTTAAAAGGCATTTTATCTTCATGAAAGAAGATTTATAATGTTAAGAGTAGTGAAATGACTAGGTATCCTTGACTCACAATAGTAAATTTTCTACTCTATTGGCAGAAGAGTGCAGTGCTTTTTATTCCCAGACTGTTAATGTAAACCCATGGCATTATTTTTGCTTTCACTGTTAAACAACTATGAAGTGTTTAATTATCCTTCTCCAGTAGACCAAAACCTCAAAATGAATAAATTTGATATTACACCTGTAGGAGGAAAATCTGCTGTTCTTAAGCAGCCAAGAAAAAAGTTTGTATATAACAGCTGTAACTGTCTCTTCAGTTCCCTTTTTCACTTACTGTAGTGTATGTTTTCAGAAGGCCATCTTGTCAGGTCGTATCTTTTATTCCTGTCTCTTTCACAAAAGGAAAATGGTTCAGTTGGGCTGAGTTTAACTTTGCTGTGGGTTATTTGATGAATTATGAAGCAGGAGTGCATGCAAGTACTCCTTGATGCCCACCACAAGCCCTTGCCTTGTCCAGTGAGACAGAACACGCAATGGATGGGCCAGCCAGGGGACATACGGGCATTTAAGGTATAATGTTGCAAGCAGTGGTAAAGATCTACTTATTTCTTGCTTAAACTGAAGACCAGGATAAGAGTACTGACAAAGTAAACTACCTTCAAAAAGATAAATGGAGTAGAATCTGGCAATAAAAGACATTACACTAATCAAGTGCAAAATCCCTCTTCTACAAAAGATCAGGAAGCACATGTGCTCCAAATGCTCCACAGTTTCTTTGTAACAACAGAGAGAAATAAATCCAGAATTTAGTCATTTGGCAAGTAACATGAGAATGCACCAGGTTTCCTTATTTTAATATTGCTGGAGAAGATGATCTTGATTTGTCTGAACTGAAACAGAGGAACGAGCAGTTGGTCAGAAACATCAGCTAAGCATTCTCAATAGGAAATAAGAAATCTATTCTTTCATTTCCAATCCCAGACTACCATTCCTGCCAGTAACTCGAGCCAGAAGGCAAACTGTGGCTCAGATTGTGCCCTCTGGCTTCACCATGCTCTGCAAGAGAAGTGTCCCACTGGGGATAAATATCTAAGGTGTGGGGGGCAGAATGGCGAGGCCAGACTGTTTTCAGTGGTGAGTGGAGACAGGACAAGGGGAAACGGCTGGAAACTGCAGCATAGGAAGTTCCGCACAAATGTGCGCAAGAACTTCTTTACAGTGAGGTGACGGAGCACTGGAACAGGCTGCCCAGGGAGGTGGTGGAGTCTCCTTCTCTGGAGATGTTCAAGACCTGCCTGGATGCCGACCTGTGCGACCTGCTGTGGGGAACCTGCTTTGGCAGGGGGGTTGGACTCGATGATCTCTGGAGGTCCCTTCCAACCCCTACAATTCTGTGATTCTGTGATTCTGTGACTGTGTGTGGAAGCTTCCTGCCAGCATGCTGGAGCAGGTGCTGGGGTGCTCCAGGAGCTCTGCATGCAGCAGCATGACTGCAGCTGCATGATTGCATACAGCAGCAGGTCCAGGGCTCAGCAGCAGCAGCACCATGGGGATTCCCATGAGTTCTTGTTCTCACTTGGAAATGAAAACAGGCTGCAGTTCTGAGCCTCCATGTGTAACTGGGTAAGGCAGCACGAGGCGCGCATGGGGTTCGTTTTTCTTTCTTTTCATCTACTTAATACCTCTGTGGTGGGACTGATGGAGTTGTTAAAATCCCTTGTAATGTACAGGCGTGTGTCTTTATGATGTAGAGCAAACAAAAGTAACATCAATCCACCTCCCTCCTTGGACTTTGGCTGGCACCAGTACTAGTTTTTGTAGGGTTCTTTACATTACGAAAAGCATCACTGGACATCATCACTATGAATATTACAGATAAGAGCAGGATCAAAGCAAGGCAACATGGCAAACATTTTGCTTGTCATCAGTCAAAACAGCTTTTTATGTCTTTAGCGACAACGATTTCCTGACAAACCTCTGCTCCTGAAACCCGCTGCAAATACAAGACCACCTCGTACTCTTTCACTAAGAGGAAGCGCACATTTCAATTCGTTTTCAAACGCTGGGACCTCCCTGAAGCAGCTTTCTCCCTGCAGAGCCCTCCCTCCGGGCCGGGCCCAACGATGGGCGGGCGGAGAGGGACGGACGGCCGGGAAGGCGGAGACGGGGGGCGGCTCGCTGCCGGGGCGCGCCCCCTGCTGGCACGGCCGCCACGGTGCCGGACCCGCGGGGGAAGCGGCCGGGCCTGGGCTGTGCTCGGCGGTCCCACCCCGAGCAGCGCTGGAGCCGTCGGTTTGATTCTCAGCACGCAACAGGCAATTTTAACTCTTTGAATAACGTTGTATTGTTCCGATAGGTAGGCTTTTATAGAGATAAAGATTAATTTTGGGGAGATAATACTACTTTTATGTTTTTAATATTGTTACACTGTTCCGATAGTTCAGTGCTTACACAGCCCCTCTCCTGGACCTCCATTTTAGACGTCCATTTTGAGCACCTTGGAGCGCCCACATCAGTGCTGCTCTTTGGATCAGCAGTGTGCTTTTGGAGCACATCTGCCACACTGTGCTTGGACATGCTGGCACAGAGCAGCCTCACAGCCGCCCATTTCATGGCATTCAGATGACACCGGGCTGGAGGAAGGCTCCAGGTAAGCACACAGTACCCTGCAGCAGCTGTGTGAACACGGGGCCCTCTGTACCAGTTCTGTCACCGTTCAGATGCATTCCTACTGCACCGCACTACCTGCAGAGGTAGGCGCAACCAGAACTGCTGTGAGCAGGTGTGGCAAAACAAACACAGACAGCTCTGGCAAACATTTTTGGCAGACAGTATCTTTTACATGAAGAAAAAAAAGCACCCTGCACTGCTGCTGGCACAGGCTGTAACATGACTGCATGCAGCAGCAGGTCCAGGGCTCAGCAGCAGCAGCAGCAGCATGGGAATTCCCACTGGTCCCTGAAGCTTCTCGTCCCAATGCTGACCTCCATCCAGGCAAAAGCTGGCCAGCTGCAACCCCTTCTTATGGTTTTGTCTCTCATTATCCTTGTACCCAGCACTGGCAATCCATCCCACCAGCTCCAAGCCATGGCCTGACTAGTCCTGTGGTGTTCTGGGCATCTCAAAATGGCTGTTGGAAAGGCTTGTAAAAAACAAGTGCTAAAGGTGGTGTGGCTTTGAAAATCTTCGCTATGCTCTTTAGGTCACAGCCCTCCCATGTGCTGTCTCTCCAGGAGACAGGAACTGTTTGTAAAAGCTGGTGCTGCATTAGCCATCTCCTAAGGCTTTGTGTGTAAGCAGTTTCAAAGGAAGACTTGCACACTTCTGCAGGGATGGTGGGGACCATCTGGCAATGGTTAGTTTGTTATTATTCACTTTGTCAATTTATTCTAACCCTTACTGGTGCTTCAATGCGAGACAGATCCTCAGACAAGCTCGTGAGTTCCTGTCTGGGAACTACCCCAGCCTTCTTCACAATGAATACATGCAAAAAGCTCATTTGGGGCTTCTGTGGCAATTCTGTCTTTTCTGTGTATTCCTTTGTATACCTTGATAGCAGATTGGCTCTAGAAGATGTCTCTCAGGCTTCCTGCTCCTGATGAGACTGAAAAGCTTTTTCAGTCTTTCTGCAGGTTGTGTGTCAGTTACATGTTTCAAGAAGGACAGAAGTCAAAGGAGTGATTCTGTGGATATTTTGCCTTTGTTCAGAAATGTCTTGAGTTGCTTAGGCACAAAAGGGTGATCTAGGAAAATATTCATCAAATATTCATCTGACATCAGGAAGAGGTTCACCTCTTCTTTGCAGGAAATTCCTGCCTCAGGCAACAAATATTCACCAAATATTATGAACAAGCAAACATTTTGAAAACATTCAAGACATGATTAGCAGCTCTTTGGAGGACATTGGAGAGATACAGATCCCTGAGTTGACTGGTTAATAAACAGAATAACCAGGAGTCAAACCAGTGCAGGAGCAAAATAGAGAAGACTAAGTCTTGCTTGATTTTGCAAAGATTGGAGGCAAAAAGTGGGCATAGTTGTGATAGAGTCAGTCTGAAAGCATTTTCTTGCACATCGCTCGTCTGTAATTTCCCAGCCTTCTATAAATTAGTCAGCATGTGAGCACTGCTCTGTAAGTTTAGTGTGGGTAGTTTAGATTGCATGTTCAGAGTGCTGGCTGTGTTGTTTTGGTTATGAGATAGTCATGGTATGTTTCTGTTTGCAGATGGGGAGGTTTTGCCTCTGTGAGTCTATAACCTGGTTCATTTACCTACACTGAATATAAAATTTAGCAGAAACTGTAGCACAGAGAAAACTAATAATCATTTATCTATAGTCTGGTGATACGCTAACATAAATTCAGACTTAGACCTTTTTGTACTGAACCTATAATACCAGTTTTAGGAAAAATGACCCCAAAAAGATCACATGACACAAATTGATGATTCAGATTAAACTTACATCCTGGACCCAGTCTGTCAGAAAGACCTAACCGAGTAATTCTGTGCAGGCGGGCTGTATGCCAAGTGAAGCATATTACCTCCTGATACTCTAACATGTCATATCGAGTACTTTTGTCTTCCCACAACACACACAAGGCCACTGTACAGCCATAAAGCCAGTGTAAGCCCCATACTGCGTGCTGGGATTAACATCTGTGAATCTGGATCAGATTTGTGCTACTGCCTTAGCGCCCATGGTAGCATGGCCTCCTTTAAGGAAGATGAACAGCAAAGAGCAAAGGTCCTCGTGGTGGCCATGCACGTGAATGCTTCTCTTACCTGCTGCTTGGTTACGATCACAGCTGAACATACAGCTGCCTGTGTGGCTTAGAAGAAACCTCAACCAGCCATGGCCACCTTCCCACTTATTTGATAGGTGACTTCCTGTTCTTTCCAGTTATTATTACATAACAGAGTATTTCAGTGCTCCTTCCACTTGGCCTGAAGGAAAGATGTTTAGAATATCCATAGGTATAACCAGATCTGTAGGTCTGCACAACAACAGCTGCAGTGCAATGATACCATGCCACAGTTTATCCTATCTATTGAGAGGGCAGTGGTCTTCTAATTAATGATTATTCCGTTTAGTTTGTGGTTTAATGAACATTTTTGGAGCAGTCAAAATATTTGAAAAGTACAAAAACAAAGCACATGAAATGTGAAATTCCAAGTGAATTTTAAGTCTGTCCTTAATTTCCAGCGCATATTTTGACCTGAGCTTTCAACCAAAGTGCTGTCGTGCAAGCTGTTCTCATCAGGAAAGCAGGCTGACCTACTGGAGAGAATTCCTGCTCCTCTTCCACAAAGACTTGTCACAGAATACAGGGAGAATGAAACAGTAACTACAGACAGGTGAAACTTTCCAAGGCAACTGACAACAGCAACTGAAGCACAAATCTTAGCAATGGTGAACTTCTATTATGGGACACACATACTTGAATGAAGACCCAGGGCTTTTGAAATGTGTTTTAGACAATTTTTTATTTAGAAGATGGAGAAATGAGTGGAAACACTATTTAAAATATTGATTAATAAAAGAAAATGGCTGAGAATATAAAGGTGGCATGATCAGTGGGAAAGGAGAGAGAGCAGTTACTGAAAGGCATCAACAGAACTACAAACCTTCTAACATAGAAGGCACATGGGGAGAGAGCATTAACCGACACGAACAAGAGTGTAATGCAGCACTAATGGCAGTGTCAAAATATACAAGCAGACTTTCCAGATTGTGCAAAAAGTGGAATCAAGCACATAGTTAAGAATTAGCACTGCAGAGTAACATGGGCAGGCAGGAACAAAATGAGAGGCAAAATTAGTACCTGAGAAGGACATAGGAACACGTTATATCTATATGCACAGGAAATAAAAGCAAAACAAGTGAAAATATTGTTCACTGCTGATAGAAAAAGAAGGCACACGCACACAGAAACCAGCACGTCAGTTTCTTCAGCCTTCAGAACTGCCTTGCAACCTGTTACTGAACCGAATGTTTTTGGGAGGTGACAGCAACAAGTAGCAGCAGGAAAGAACCCATTACACTGAAGTGGTTACGTGGTTACACAGGTTGGCAGCACTTGGAAAATACACTCCAAATTGTTCAGGATGCCAGCCAGAGAACTTCTGAAATTATTGGCGTGTAGCTACAAAAAAATATTGTGGAATTTGTGGGCTCTCCACTGATTGACTAGAGGAAGGAGAAGAAAGGTGAACTTGTGAATGGAAAACTGTTCAGAGTAAATCCAAGGTTCCAGGAAAATAATAAACTATTAATGTGTATGTACTTTGTGAATGAGGTAATTTAAAAAGTGACAAGTCAGAAAGTCACTATGAATTTGTAAAGAATGTGGGGAGCAGTTCAGATGACAGCATGGCTGAAAGCGTTCTGGGGAGCAGAAAACGAATCTGAACCAAGATGGTGATGCCACTGCAAAGTTGGCAAACGCCATACTGAGATAGCTAGTCTGGTTAGCCTGATGTAGATGTAAGGAAGAGTGCAAGGCTGAAAGGACTTAGGCAGCCTAAGAATGAGGAAAGGTATAGAAAATACAAACTATGAGAACGTAACGCATATGAGAATTTGCTAGAAAAATGAAGTTTGGACATGATAATATTATGTGAAATGACGATCTAAAACTCGTTGCAGATAAGTTGCAGATTGCTCTTACATAAACTCGGTGTTGGGCAGAGAAGCTTCAGTTAACTCCCAGCCAGCTCAGATGCCAGGACAACCTGTGCAGTGGCACCGACAGCCAAGCGCCAAGCTCTCGGCAGGCTGCGGAACGCGCCTTGCTGGGGGCTTTCAGAAAGGTTCGACTGCCTTTTGCCAGGAGTGAGGCCGTGCCTCAAGCAGCGGCTCCAGTGCGTGTGTGCCCTGCATTTTCCCCAGAGAGACTGACATAACAGGTGCCACAAGCCCTACTAGAACGCGCACTTAGGACAAAACGAAACATCGGTTTTGCCCGGGACCTCCGCACAGGGTCTACCTCACCGGAGGCCCCGCTCCAAACAGCATCTAGGGCCGCTGGGCAGAGCGAACGGCGCCTTCCAGCCGGAGCCGGAGCCCACGGCCCCCGCCCGCCGCCGCCCGCCCCGGAGGCACTCGGGCCGCGCGGCCGCCCGGCTCTGTGCCGCCTCCTCCTGCCCCCCGCCCGGCACCTTCCCGCCCGCGCCGACGCCGGCACCGCGCGGGGCTCCGCGCCCCGACCTCGGCTCCCTGCGGACAAAGGCGGCTGCTCGCGGGGCCGCCCCGAAGCCCATTCCTCAGGTACCGCTCCCGCCGCCCACCCCCGGACCCGAGGCGGGATCGCCCCGCGCCATGGCGGCCCCGCGAGGGACAGAGCGGCCGCCATGTTGTCGTCCTGCGGCCTGCGCTAACTTTGGGGAAGTTTCTTTCCCGGCCTCTGGGGGGACGCGAGGAAGGAGGAGAAGGGGGGGGGTGGAGGGGGGAAGGCAGCTCGGCGGCCGGCGGGGCAGCACCGCGACGCGCGGAGCCGTTCCGAGTGCGGCGGCGACGAGCGGCCGCCTCGCATCGACACCGCCCGCCCTCCGCGGGCCGCGCCGGGGCCGCCGGCGGCGCCGCGCCGTATTCACCGCGCGCGTTAGGCCGCTCCGCTGCGCAGACGGCGTAAGGCCGCCGCCGGCCCTCCGTGTGCGAGCGTCTCTCGCGCTACGGCCTCGGCCCCGCCCCCCGCCCCCGCCCCGCCCCTCGCGCCGTTTCCCGCACGCCCATTGGCCGCGGCGGCCGTCACTCTGCGGCTGGGCCCATCTCGCGCTCCCCATTCATGCAGTTTGGTTGCGTGTTGGTGTATTTTACTGTTTGCAATAAAGAGGGGGGGATTTTTTTTTTGTTCAGTTTCTGCTGCAATTAACTCTTGGTCCCGTCGACGTCTCTTTTTTTTTTTTTTCTTTTTTTCTTCTTTTTTTTTTTTGGCAATCCCGCAGGACGCTCGAAAACAGTTTCCCGGCGGTTCCCTTTATATTTTTTACACCTCTCCCGATCTCTCTATTTTGCAATCAACTATTAAGGTGCAACTATGCCCAAAAGAAAGGTAAGCGGGGCAGAACGGGGGCGGGAGGATTACGGCCGTTTGTGCACAAACAGCGCCGATTCGCCGTGTGTGTGTATGTGTGTGTGTGTGCGTGCACGCAGAGTTTCGGCGTTTTCCATTTTTGCTGCCCGTCCAGCAGCGCGGCCGCTCTCGTAGGGCCGGAGCCGCGCGGCGCGGAGCTGCGAGTTCACTTCGGGCCGCCGCCGGGCGCAGCGCGGCCGTCTCCATGCTGCTCCCGCCGCCTCCATGGTGCCGCCGCGCCTGGGCCGCGCCGCGCCGCTCCGCCGGGCGCCCACCGCCCCGCGCCAGCCCTGGGCAGCGCCGGCGGCATCTGGGCGCGGGTATGGCCGTATCCCGGCGGCGCTGAGCCGCTCACGGTGTCCCTTTCTCCGCCGTTTGCCTTTGTTCTCCTTTTTTTTTTTTTTTTTTTTTTTTTTTTCTCCCACTTCTTGTCATACCAGATGGTTGTGCAATGGTAAATCGGAGCCATTAGGCGGCGCAGAGTTTGAAACCGTCCTTGAAGGGAAGCGGGGAAGGAGCCGCCACCATCATTAACAACTTTCTCTCGGCCCACGCCGCCGGGATCTCCCGCCCCCCAGCCCCCCGCCTGGCCCCGGGGGACCCTCACCGCCCGCCCCTCCCAAGGGCTCCCAAGGGCCCCGCGCCCCCCTTGGCGGTGCGGGCTGCCGCGCGCTGCCGGCCGCTCCACGTGCTCGGAAGGGATCCCGGCGCGGCGGGACGCGGCGCGGAGCCACGGGGCGGCGGGGTGCGCGCGGAGCTTTGTCCTTGCGCGGGGCCGGCGGCGACCTTGTTGTGGCCGCGGATTTGGCGGGAACTTTTTAAACGCGGCCACGCCGCTGCGCGGTGACGTAGCGGCTCGGCGGCCGCGGGGCACGCTGGGAGCTGTAGTCCGCCGGGCAGCTGTGAGGCCGCGTCCCCGCTCATCGCCCTGCCTCTCATCGCCCCTCTCGCTTCTCTTGCAGGCTCCAGCTGAAGGCGAGGCGAAGGAGGAGGTAGGATTTCCTTCCTCGGTTCCGCTCTGCGCAGGACTTCTGTGGCGGTGTGGGTTAAATCCGAGGTTCCCCTTACGGGTGTGAGCCCTCGGCATCCCGCTGCGGGACCGCCTGCCCGCTCTGAGTCCCCCAGACGCCGCTCTGCACACCGGCCGTTCGGGGCCCGGGGCTGCGGGCCTCCAGGCCCTTACAGCTCAGACGTGGCCCTCGGGGCAGTAAGGGGACGTGGTTACCTGGCGTCTCAGTAGGGCTGCTTGTGCAGGGGCGCAGCGCTGAGCGAGCCGTCAGCCCTATGTCCAGAGGTTCCTAAATCCTGGGGTGTGCAGGGTGTGTGCTGTGTTGTGCTGTGCTGTGCTGGGAAAGCACAGCTCTGTGCTTGCTGAGCTGTAGTGACACCTCTTTCTTTATGCAGCCAAAGAGAAGGTCAGCCAGACTATCTGCTGTGAGTATTCCTCTCTGATCTCTTCATACTCCATCTCATGGGATGTTAAGTTCTGGGGGAAAGTTGCAGAGAGACTGTTTTTTCCTGCTGCTGCTGTTAGAGGCCAAGTTAACAGTATAAAAATATTTAAGAGTAAAATTCCTACTTTATGTGTCTGGGTTTTGAGCAGCAGCACGTAACAGGGCTCACTTTCACACATCTCATGTGAGTTGTGCAAGTCGTTTCATTCATCTATTAGTGAACATACATCTGGACACATAAGTCCAGACTCAAGGACTATTGATTGACCACTACTTGGTGTCTGTAGGTCTCCTCACTACAGATACCTGCCCATAGCTCTTTAAATTGCCCACGCTTTCTTCAAGCTTGTAATTTGCCCATTGATTTTCAGTGTCCAAGTGTTGGGTGAGCTGAGATCTAGAGGGTGTAAATCTCTGTTGAGTGGTAGGGTTCAGCCCAAAGTCAGTCTTCCCCAGGCTCTTGGTATCCTTTCCTACAGACTTAGTGTGCCCAGCCCTTTTTTAAGCAGTCTGGAAATGCCAAGTGGATAACAGTTATTATTTAAAAAAGAAAGTACTTAATTTTAGTGAAAGCTAAGATGTGTGTTGACTTCTAGAGTTATGTGCAGATGTTAATACGTCTCATTTTTGACAGATGCTTGCCTTCACAGTAGACAGTGACACTCAGACACAGTAGTGATCCACTCACTACTGCTAGTCAGCATCTGTGCTGTAGCCACTGTAAGGTATATGAGGAAATGTGAGTTTGAACAAGAAAAGATATTGACCCATCACTGACATTAATTCCTTATTACTACAGAAAGAAGCTGTCAACTCAAAATATCTTTTGTTGGAGTAGTTTTCAAAAGTTATCAATGTAATGCTAAAACTTGTATAGGGCTCATCTGACTGTTTCTTATATGTGTTTTGTACAGAAACCTGCTCCGCCTAAACCGGAGCCAAAGCCCAAAAAGGCAGCACCTAAGGTAAGTGTTGAAGGTATCGTGAACTGAAGTTAACACTTCTGTTTTTCAGGGTACTCATAGAGGGGGAAAAAAGCACTGAAACAACCCAAAACATTCACAACTTATTTTTTTTTTCCATAGTTTTCTTTAAAGATTTAAGATTGAATCTTGTGGGTTAAAACAATGTGAAATTGTGACATCAAATTAATTTAATCCAAATTCTCCTGAAGGAATGTGGTAAACTGATCAGATTTTAAGTCAGTTGTAGTGAGGCTCTACTGCTGCCTCGCAAGGCCATTCTGTAGTTTTTTACCATGTATTGTTGGGAAACTATTGATTTCAATAGAGATCAGAGATTCAGTTAGGGAAGGCATTGAAAATCATGCTTTTAATTGCAGTTTCTTATTGAGTTTTCATTCAGAGGCACTCCTTTCATTTATCAGCTTATCAGATTTTAATCACTGGAGATAAAGATCTACATGCTCATTTCCTTAAGCTGGATATTTTCCGAAATGTCAAAAATATCAGCATGTCTGACAATACAGCTAAACAAGAAATATTTACATTTTCTTTGTGCTTTGGAGCAACAACTTGAAACATAAAAGGAGGCTGTTTCTGTGATCCATGAGGTATTTATTCTTCCTTTCTGCCACGCTTTCCCAGAGGTCACGGTTTGCAATCCTTTTATTTTAGAGCTATCAGTAAATACTCAGATTGCATTAGGCATTTGCTGTTGGGAAAACAGAAACAAAATTCTCCTTTTAGTCTGTTTCCATCATACATTTTCCTTGGTGGTTTTGAGCAAAGCACAGGTTTTTAGTTACAGAAGGGTATGGTGGCTTGAGAACCAGGTGCCTTTTTGTATACATTTAAAAGCCCTTGCAATCACATCCGGCATCATGGGCTTCCAGACGATGAAAAAACTGCTCTGCCTCGAGTTCTGCTGTGTGGAGCAGCAAAAAACGTCACGAGGAGAGGACAAGAAAGAACCCCACATGCTGTCTGGGGATCCCCCATCACAGTGGTGTCCAGAGCAAGGTTTTCACATCTGCATCTTGGCTGTGCGGCCTGAACTTCTAGATCCCATTCCAGAGCGGCGGGGGAACCCAGGAGCCCTGCTGCTCGGCATTCCTGCGGTGTGAGCCGCTAGCATTCTGCGCTGCACCTCCCTCTAGTGGCTGCTCCCTCGAGCCCACATTGCTCCTGTAGCCCCAGCGGAAAGAGAGCTGGGATCTGCAAGTGCTGGGGTCAGCTTCTGCTGATCACTCGTGCAGAGGTCAGTGCAATTGCATACGGTGCGTGATGGTGGCTTTTTTTCAGGCTTGCTTTTTTATTTTTCGTTTTGATGGAAACATCTAAAGATTTACGCATAGAAGCTGTGCTAACAGAATTTTGGAGTTGCAGAGCTAAGCATTTAAAAGTTAAGGACTGTAAGTGACTGTTAGAGCTTACTCCAGTCCCATGCTGCACGAGCTGTGTGGTGCATCTCCTCTCAGGGACTGATTGCTATTGAGTTCTGCTGGCAAGTTGCGAGTTGCCCCACACCCAGGGCAGCAGCATTGTTCTTCTTGCAGTTAAGGTGTTGGTTTGAATCTAGGACAATTGAGCTTTGGCTCTCTGAAGCTATCTAATACAGGACCAGCATCTACGCAGAAGGGGTTGTAGTAAGAGTTCTACAGGATCCCAGGTTCCCAGTCACAGCTGTATTCTGCAAGGCACTTTCTTTCCATTCAGAGTCCAGTCGCAGAAAGTAATTTCTCTGGATTCTTCTCAAGTCTTGTTTTAAGAGGCTTTGCCAACAGACAGTAGTCTGCAGAGCAAGTGACTAACACACCTGTGCTGCTAGAGAGCCCTTCACAGCAGACTGCTTCTGTGTGCTTCAGAGGTCTCCAGAAGTTTGTTCAAGGGACAGAGAGCAAGCCAGTATCGCAGCAGCATTGCAGTTCCAAACCTTAACACTGCCAGACACTTCCAGAATAGTTATGTGCTGGTGTTACTCTGATGGTTATTCTTCTTGGCCTTTTCCTTCTTCCACTCTGCCTCTTGAAAGTGTAAGTGGTGCTCTTTCAACTGGGGGAAGAGGGCGAGAGGAGGCAGATGGCTCTCTTTCCTGCTCTATTTGACTACTCTCTTCCTTCACTCTGGAAAAGAGCCGTTGTGTATCCTTCATAAGTCAGTCCCCAGAATGGAGGAGAAGGTTCTGGAGAGTGGGCACAGCCTGGGGGAAGGAGACTTCTAATGCCACTGAGGTGGAGTTTTCCAGGTGGGCTGAAATCCCTCAGGAAGGTCAGGCTGGGGAGTGGGAGGATAGAGAGGAAAAAGCCTCACTCCTGATTGGTGCCACCAACCTCCTGTCTGAGCTTTCCGCACTATTGCAGGACTTGGTTTTAATTTGGGTGAGTTTTTTATCATCAGCATTACTGAATAATCAGGTGGCTTTGCTCTTACCATTTTGTGTCTGTGTTTGACATTAGCAAACAACTCATTTTTGATGTGAATTAATTTTGTGAACTAATAAGCTAGGAGTTGAAATAAGCATATAGACTTTCTAGAAGTTTTAGACACTGGGACAACTCCATTTTCTGACTAGGTAAATGTGTGTATTTGCGATTTATGTGCTTAGCTTCATTTACCTTAGGGTAGTGGTTTTGGAGGTATTTATCGTTCTTTTGTTGGAACCATGTTTATCAGTCATGATCTGCTTAGATTCTCTGATGGTTTCTGGTTTGCTGGTTCTTTATTGGCAGCAAGGGGCAGATCCTTGCAAGTGAAACTGGTAAGAAACCATGCTTGTTTCTGGGTTAGGGTCAGAGTTTGACCTTACTATATAGAAAACTGTTACTACAGAAGTTGTGGCATTGAACTTTGTTTTGATTTAGTCTGATCAGCCATACAAGAAAGTGTGGTTAAATAATAACTGCAAAGTTTGCGTTGTTATTGAAGTGATGCTGTTGGGCCCCCAGCTTGTGCATCACACAAATGGTTTATTATAGTAAGGAATATTTCGGGCAGACAAGGGGGAAAGTCCTTTGACTACAGCTTTGTTAGAATTTCTAAATAGGCCTCAATAGCACATCTGAAGGATTCTGGTATTTCCACTAGTTGCACATGTTCTTTTTGTTCTTTGGTATGCCTTTCAGCAGCACAGCAGAAATACAGGCCAGTTCAACTCCAGCATTTTTTAGCTAATTTAATTGAATGCCTATTTAAAATAGGAATTCTTTTAACCCCAGCTGTGACTGCTTTTATATTATGCACTTCTCAGTAGCAAGTTTGGGGCAGAATAGAAGGAGAACACTTCTCCATAGAAACCTTCATCTCATCTTTGTCACTAGGAAGTTCTGTGTGCAGAAGCAGGTTGTGTGGACAGGTTCAGAGTTGTGAATGTGCGAATGAAGGCGTATGAGTTGGAAGTCAGCATTTGCCATATCACAGTTTCTTTTCTTAACAGAAAGAAAAGGCAGCAAACGATAAAAAGGAAGACAAAAAGGCAGCAACAAAAGGGAAGAAAGGAGCCAAAGGCAAAGATGAAACTAAACAAGAGGATGCAAAAGAAGAAAACCACTCTGAAAATGGAGATACCAAAACTAATGAGGTACCTTAGCTACAGTAAACATGGGAATAAACACAGATGTATTGGTAATGCATCTGCTGGAACTAATGATTGGGGCCTCCTGTCGGAAGGTGCTGCGTTCACTGCTGTCCTGTTAAGACACACCAGCTGCAGTGTCTGCGCAGGGCGACTCCCAGGGAGAGCCTGAAAGAATAGCATTCTCCTCAAACTCTTTCCTGCTATGTGGTAGAGCCCTTCCACAGGTGGTCTGTGCTATTGTAGTGTCCCTCTCTGTGTTGGCACAAGAGCAATGCAGAATATCTGGGGAACAATAGAGCTCAGAAAGATTGCTGTCCAACCCTGAGCTGACTTTGCATATCCTCTCTGGACTGCTGGATTGCCTATTCTGCTCAGCACGGGTTGGTACTGTGCCAGAAATCTGGTTTTAAGTTTTACACAATTCTTTAAAACAATTCTTCGCATCAGAACAGTTCAACAAGAGTTCTTCAAAACAAACTTGGTCTTGTCTCTTGATCTGAAAGCCTCTTTCTTATAGGTTCTTGGTCTTGTCTCTTGATTTGCAAGCCTCTTCCTTGCAGGTTCTTACCGTATCAGCTACTTACACAAGAGCTGCCGTTTGCTAGGACTGGCTACAAGCTTCAGTCCGCTCCTGATGGCCTTTTCCTAGCACTCCTGTTGCTGATAGAAGTGCAACATTTGCTACAGGCTCCTTTTATCCCTGCAGCTGTAGCCTAGCCTGTTGTGTACTCCAGTGCTGTTGATTTACAGTGCTCTCTCTTCGTGTGCTGAGTATCGCTACAGAGTTAATGGGTCATTCATTTGTTCATTCTAAAAAACAATTCTCAAGCTTCTCTGCTAAAAATTAATATGGCACCATCGTCCTTCCAAGGACCGCTGATAGGAGCTTGGCAATTTTGATGTGTTGACTTAGAAACTAATAGCAGACGTTTTATAGAAAACAGGTGAGATCTGCCTCCCTGAAGTTCGTACAACACAGTATTTGTGTGTAATTCTTACACTTCCTATGACTGGACGGAGATGAGGACGTGAACTTCCCCCAGCACTTGAGTGATCCTTATCTAAAACACGTTTCAAATTCTGTCTCTGGATTCTCTTACCATTCTGATATTAATCAGTCATCAAATGATACTCCTCCTCCATGGTTTAGTTTTTAGAATTATCAGCCAACGCGTTGTTGTGTTGATATTATTGGTAGTAGCTGTGCTTTCCTGTTTATCTACACAAAATGTTGTCCATGTGCGTGCTAACAAAGTAGTCTCTCTTTGATGCTTGTTAGAATGGGATCCGATTAGCATTACAAATAATATTTCTATTCTTCCCAAACACTTTTATAGGCACCAGCTGCTGAAGCATCTGATGATAAGGAAGCCAAGTCCGAGTAATGTTAACCCTGCCCTATATCTCCATCATTTGGTATCCGTACCTCCATGCTGTATTGTTAACAGAGAGGAATATTTTTATCAACTATTTTATAAATGCAGGTTTTTTTAGCATGAATTTAATTATGGAACATCTTCATCTCGGTTACTTGGGAATTAAATCCCTAACAAACAAAACAAAACAACAAAAAAAAATCATTGTTTTTAAATTTTGTGATTGTAATAGTTTGTATGGTACATGGAAAGAATAAGTGGTGGTAGCTTTTGACTTCTGTCAGTGTGTCCCTTTTTGTGTAAGTCATGCTTACAGAGTTCAGATTTTAATTTTACCCTTGTACGTGTTGTATGGTTTCTTAAAGTGGGGAGGTCTCAAAACAAATAACTGTGTTAAACATTCCAGTGGTTCTGTGGGTTGCTTTTATAAAGAAGGTGAGCTATTTTCATGAAAAAAAAAAAAAAATACCTAAGAGCTGGAAATCTGTTGTTTTCCCAAATGTAATTTTATTTTGTCGGTTTTGAAAAATAAATAAATAATGAAAAAAAAGTGTAATCATGTTTTTAAATGAAATACAAGCGTTTCTTTTGAAAGGGCAGGTCGGTTGTATGTACCCACTGTTAGGAATTTTGCTGGATTTATCTTAATAAAAAAGACTCCTCAAAAACTGACTGTGGTTCGTTGCTTGTGCTGCACACGCGCTGCTGGAGCTGTGCTGGCGGACCTGTGCAGCTGGGCCCTGGCATCCACAGCACGGCCGCTGCTTGGGCCCCTGGCTCCCGCCGTTGTGTCAACAAAACCGACCCCATGCAGTCAGGATGGGAACAGATGGTCCAGAGGAAAGGCGCCGCCCAGCATCCCCACATGGAAGCTCGCGTTCTCAGCCTCGCTTCCTCGAGAGAAGCTGAGATATTGGTGTTGCCCAGCGTGCCTTGAGGGCTGCTGGTGTTAGGAGCTCTGGTGGGTGTTGTCTCCTTTATGTTTCAGTGCCTGGTAATTGATAACGGTTTAGAAGAGGGGTCTTCCTTAGAAATAGCAGGTGAGCTTGGAGATAGCAAACGTCTGGTAGTGTAAAATGGTTTTCTGTTATGCTGGAATGGCCATAGTACCAGATAAAGTGCGTGCTTACCTACCTTTTACTTATAGCTTCTTCTAATATATCCTACTTACGGAGCGTTTTCCTGCTTAGCTTCCCCTTTCCTGCTTAGCATGATCATGTGTGTATATACAGAAAATGGTTTCCATGAATGCAAGCCTGTTCTGGGAATTACTGCTAGACTAGGCAGTATACATAGGGGTTTAATGTGTTTTACCTAGTCTTATTTCTGTTGCTACAGCTATGCTATACAATTTTTTTCAAGGACACTTCACATTTTCCTCTCTAAGCCACCTTCTTTATGGTCTCTTCACATTGATGACCAAATTTATCATGTATTTGATAGGAAGAAAAATGTCTGCAATGCAGAAAGTATGTTTTTTGTGTGTGTAAGATTGTTTTGCAGCTCAGAAATGTGAAATTCCAGGAGGCTGCACAGTTCATCTCCTATCCACAGCCCAACTCGGTGTCTCAGTGCAGTGCCCTGTATGAAATGGCTGTTCCCTGAGCAGCACCCCGGGGTGCTGGCTACTCAATGATGTTTAGTGGTGATTTTAACCTCCAAGGCCTAAAGCACAGATGATTTTTATTTCTGCTGTGACACCTTTCATTCCATAGATGTGCTCTGTTAAAGCAGCCAGCACATGTGAGCTACAACTTCCTCGCAGGGCTGTTACACAAGTTCAGGGGGTATTTTTCCCTCCTAGGATTTTCTATAGGCTGCATCTGTCGCTGTGTGAAATCTCATGGTGATTTAGTGATACCAGGAGATTCTGCGTATTTTAGGTTGAAGGGATCCAGTGACAATTCAAATGTCATCCCCACACTTTTACCCATGAAAATTACTGAATTTAGCTTGCTTTTGGGCAATGAAGGATTGCTAATAAGCACGGCAGTTTGTTTCAGAGACAAGATGCAATAGTTTTTAGGGTCTGACCAAATGCTGCTTGAAGTTGGTGAGAAATAGCAGTGGGCCTGCACAGCTTTAAGGATAAAATGCATTTTGGAATAAAGCATATTATAGCTGCAGTGTCTCCTCCCAGCTTCCAGTGGTTGCTGTGCAGGGGCGTAACACAGCACATCTGGTGTAAATAGGAAGGTGAGCTCTTTGTGCAAATCTCAGTGACACCCCTCTCTTCCCAGTTTCATTCTCCCATAGTGTTTCGGGCATGGTTATTTAAATAGTAGCCAACAGTATGAGTATGGTTGGTATTTTCTTCCTAGCAAAAGGCTCATCCATGTGCCAAAGTGTAATCAGCCCATCACCCACTAATTGAGGTCATTCTGTATGTTAGGTCACATTTCTCCATTCTAATTCAGAAGCTGTTACACAGAGACATACAATTGAGAGTTTGGTTTTGTTTAGTTCCCCTTTCAGTGCCAGGGCGAGAGTTTTCTTAATTCTATAACTATTGTTACAACCAGATTCCTGTTACAAATAAACTCAGAAAATTGCTTAAGAACTTTTCATACAAACCTCGTTGCTCAAGTTCACAGCTTTTCAGAGCAATGGGATATTTGAGTGAGTTGCACAATGAAATAGATTTCTGCCTTCTGCCAAGCCCTCCTCATCTGGTGCTCTTGACATCTTGACACTGCAGCAAAGGCAACTCCAGTTTATGGCTGACCAAAAAGTGGAGGTTTCAGTGGGAAACTGAAACCTTTCACAAGCAGTCAGTTTGGGTGTTCCTGATTCCAGGCTCAGCTGGAAGGCATGGAGAAACCCTTCACCAAGCTCCTTGGCTCTCCACTGCCAGAGCTCTCGGGCGTAAGAAACGTGTTTCCTATTCTAGTTCTGACTAGGAAAGGTTCTTAGAATGGCTACACAGGCAAAATCCATTTGGGCGTTTGATTATCATTACTGAAGATAACAACTCCAGACTCGACAAGGTGTGATGTGGCAAACAGCTTCCTGAGTCTTAAGACAGCAATGGTTCTGTAGTGGCACAGTGATGCTCTCAGCAAAGGGAGGAGACTTCATGTGAGGTAAGATGCATGTTTTGAGCAAGGCACATGTAGAACTGTCGGCTTGCATTTTGCACTGAGACCTGGTGAACGGTGGCGATGCTGCTGCTCATCATGAGTTCCAGACTCTGTACGTGGAGGTAGTTTGATGAATGTTACACCCAGTTTAACGAGCGGACCGCAGGCACCAGTAAGCAGGAGCTCTACAAGGAATTGCAGAGTTGGGTGTTTGGCCAGGGCCAGGGCTGCTGGAACACAGTGCAGTGCTCTGGGTGCAGTGAAGCAGTGCTGGGTCACATTGCACCGTCAGCACAGAAACACAGCGTGCTTCCACCCAGCAAGATGGCAGGGAACAACGAACCCATTGTGGACCAACTGGAGGGATTGTGTGCACGCTTTGGACCCATCCTACTGCTAGGGAGGTTCTCCATAATGGTTTCGTTTAGTAGCAATCATTGGACAAAGCAAGGCTCTTCACTCGGTGCACAAATGCCCTGTGATGAAATTTAGGATGCAGTCTCCTAATGCAGCGTGGGGCTGAGCTTACTTCAGCATGTGTATCAAATGTAGGATAAAGGGCTGAGACCTCGCATTCCTCAATGTAATGCTTGTTCTACAGGAGCCGCAGCAGAACGTGGGAAAGTGCTCTGTGAGAGCAATGAAAGGCTTAGAGAAACTGCTGGGCACCTGGAAAGTAGGGTTTGAAGGAAGAGGAGGCACCTTGGAACTTCTCCCTTGGGTCCATCGTGAGCGGTGTGTTGGGGCAGCACAGAGGGAGGAACACGAGGAAAGAGGCACAAACAGAACGTGGAAATCCTTCTGCTTGGAAAAAAACAGGAGCAGGGAGTGAAATCTCTTCTTTTAAATGAGGAGGGGAGAATAACAACTACCCCCAGACCACATACAAGAAAGGCTTTTGTAGATACATCCTATGTCCATCTTTGCTCCTTTGAGTGAAGTAACCGCATGCAAAAGCCAGAAAATCTGATGTGTCTGATTTTCAGATCAAGAGCAACTCCCTGGTAGTTAATGGAGTTACACTGGTGTTAATCTGATGAAGCAGAAAGAAAATTGGATCCCCTGAATAGAAACGGATGGCTTTTCTTTCCAGTTGTCCCAATGGTGATGTTCCTCCTCCATGCAGCTGGCGCAGGAGCTCTGCTCTGAAACCTGATCCTGCTGGATGGCTTCCAGTGAGCCAAGAACACCCCTCGGGCTGCGTCCGCGGCTTTCGAGGAGCCTCTCTCCTTCTGAGAGTACAATGTCAGCGTGGCTGCTGGCCAGAGAGCGTCCCAGAGCCCGGAGAGGGGAGGCGGTCACTACAGAGCATGGAGGAAGGGATCAGAAGTCATTGCTGTCCATGCAAACAGCAGAGGGTCCTGGGAAACAAAGCACTGCCTGGCTCGGGAGGGAGATGCTCACAACGTGTCACATGGGAACACTCAAGTGTTGGCCCCGTGTGTTACAGTGAGCCCAAGATTGTCACCGAGAGGTGACACCTGGAAGAAGTGAAATGAAGTAGGTGCTTATGTGATATGAAATGAACAACATCACAAATTGGAAAGCGCTGCCTCTAAAAGAGCGGAAATCAAATTGACATCGCAAAGCTCTCAAAGGCATTTTAATATAGTTGGACACATCTTAAACATTTCCAGACGTTCTTAAAAAAAGGGCACGGGGAGGGGGAGGGGGGGAACAGTGCAGATAAAAATGCGGTATTGAAGCCTACAAATAGAATGGGAGGGCCAGATTTAAACCAGGTTTGTCTCACTGGACTCAAGGACTGTGCTGCTCCAGGGGTCGCTGCCAGGGTGAGGACTCGGAGCTGGGGGGAGCAGAGTGCGCCCTGCACACGGCCAGGCACTGCCCACCCCGCAGCCCTGGGCTGCTGCTCGTCCTGCAGTGCAGGAGCCATGGAGTTCTGCCATTTGGCAGCATCTTCTTCCCTGCCAAGAGGGGTGCATTGCTTTCCTTAGGGATGGAGGTGAGAGCAATCCTGGAATTCACTGTGAAAGCTGCTTGTATGCGATCCAAGCACTGAAATCCAGAAAAATCACCGGGGTTTTATTAGTTTAACATTAACAGTTCAAGGAGGGAGTGGGAGTACGTTTCTTGGAGCTAAAACCAGATGTGAGACTTCGTAGCCACAAAGATTTCTGGTTCCCCTCTGTTTGCTTTTCCCTCGGGAAGATGAAAGCAGCAGCAGGGAGGGAAGGCTCTGATGGCAGCAGCTCTCTGCCTTCACCCTCACTGCGGGGATCCCACTGGATGCAGCTCCACAACCACAAGGGAGCTGCTTGGATCCACGTGCTGCTGCAGTGGAGGTGGGTGCGCTCCAGCTGGGACACAGCCACAGCTTCCAGCCAGGGTTGATGTGTGCTGGAGCTGATCGCTTGTCCTTTGCAGGTCAGGACCCTGCTCCGTTTTGCACCAGGAGCACCGAGGAGGGCTGGACTCACAGTCTGAGGGAAGCCCTGCGAGAGCTGCCTTCCCCTCAGGCCTCCTCCTATAAATCTTTCTACGCTGCAAACAGAAATTTGCAAATCTAGGCCAAGCGTTCCCTGCTCCTATTTCACCACCCATGTTGTCAGAGGGCGGTTGTGCTGTGCGCTACAGAGATGCAGCATCTCAGGATAAGAGATAACAGACTGCTCTGCTCTGTGCCCATGCAGCCCGGTGGGGTCCTCTTCTATACCTGGACCGTTACCCTGGGAGTAATTAAAATAATTAACAAGTGTAATTAACTGTTGAGAGTTTTAGCACATTGTATCAGCAACAATTAAATAAATTGCCCTTTTTGTCTTGCAAAGAATTTACAGAGAGGGGAACAAGGAGGAGGGAGGTGGAGAGAGTGATGCGGTGGCACGGGAAGTGAATAGGGGTCGGTGGCTCTTGTGTTGGAAGACAAAGCAGACAAAGCGGTGCCCCACGGAATTACCGAGTGGCAGATGCAGATCGGCCACATTTCCCGCAGCGCGTAATTAAGCTGAGGAGCTCATTGCCCAAATGGATCCCCAAATCCGGGGGCACGGAGTGCTGGGGGCCCTGAGTTGTCCCCAGGTCCCTGCTGCCCGGTCCTGCTGTGCATTTGGTGCCACGACACCGCGGTGGCTGCTCCACAGAGTTAAGGGACGCATCCCAGCCATGTTCCAGCACTGCTCAGCCTGGCTCCAGCCTCCAGCACGGAGCCTTGGGGCTCGTCTCTCCTCACCATCAGTGACCCTGGGTTGCATTTTGGGCAGCACGGGAGCCCAGAAGGATGGAGCAGAACTCGCATGCAGGTGTCCTTCTGCCCAAGGGACAGGGACAGTGGCAGTGCCAATGCTGTTGTGAGGGGAGCAAGTAGGTGCCCTGCTTCACTTTGTGCATCTTGCTGAAATGCATGAGCCCAAAGGGAAAGAAACAGCAGAAATCCAAGCAAATATGGAAGGTGAGGCCCATGGCAGTCAGTGGAGGTCCCTCTGCAGGCTGACCAGAGGGAGGGCTCCATCCCCATCTATTTCTGCTCCAAGCATGCCAGCGCGACTCTGCTGCCTTTCCTGATTGAAACCTAACACCTTTTATATGGTTCACTTCTCATAACTTGAGGGTTTTTTTTTAAGAAAAATTAATTCCTTGGACTCTGGCATCAGCAGGCAGCAGTAGGGGCAGAAGCTGTGCTCCTGCCCTGCAAAGCCATGCCCCCTCTCAACATCTCCCATCAGCATCTTCCTTCAGCCCATTTATTTTAAGGGAAACAAAAGCTCTACTTTCTGCCCGTTCCCTCCGTGCTGCCCGGTGCCCCCACAGCACAGCCCCGGTGCCACTGCTCTCCCTCTGCCATCTGCATGACAAAACCCACTGCTCCATCCTTTTGGGGATTGCCCGCACCACAAACCTTAATGGGCTTCATCAAAAGCTCGGATGATTTCAGGGTCTAGGTTTTTATTCATTACAGCGTTGGCTGACAAAGCCCATTACATCATCTGTTTGGAAGAGAAATTCTCTGCAGCTGCTTGTGTGGCACAGGGGGGTTTGCTGGAAAAAATAAGGCAGATTTTTTTTGTTTCATTCTTTCAGGGCAATTTTCGTTCAAATTGCTGGAAAACTGCACGTTAAAAAGGCTTCCAAAGTGGAAAGGAAAAGGGCAGCACGCAGCAGCTTTAACCATTCTTTTTTTCTTTTTTTTTTTGTTCCCTTCCAAAAAGCTGGGGGAAGGCAGCCCCCGCTCAGGGCCATGTTTGGTGCTGGGATGTGGGGACAGCAGGGTGCCCCATCCTGCCCCATTGCTGCTGGGAAGTCCTGGTGGCTCAGCACCGGTGCAAGCAGAGGAATCCCTCCAGCACTCAAGAGAAGAGGCTGAAGTGGTACCTTGAGTTGCTGTTGGAACGGCTGCTAGGCTCAAAAGAAAGATTTATAATTCATAGGGTAATGTGCACACAAGGTGCTATGGAAAATATCTCAGTTCTTCACTCACTGCAATTAAGAGTGAGAAAAACCCATAACTACAGATAAAAATCCATTATTATAGGTGAGTGTGACAGACCACTGCGTTTCCCCATCAAGTGAGCAGCACGGATGGGCTGAGCCTTGTTACCACAGGAGTTTCACAAGTGGATTTTGAGACATTTTAACTGTATCCAGGAAAAGATGGGTCCTCACTGCTGAGCGTGTCCTTGGTGGTAATCTGGATATGCCAAGGAGCACGGAGGTGTGGCACTGACACAGCATGGTGGGCTGGCGGTCCGTCTTGGTGGTCCCAACCTTAATGAGTGGCTGCCTGAGAGATGGGAATGCTGCTGGGTTTTGGCAGCCTCATCAACGTGGAGAAGGCGTGGGGGACGTGGGGTGATCCAGGTGGTGACCTCAGAGCTGCTGTTTAAAAGAACGGGGCTTCTTTCAGCGGTAGAGGTTGGGTCATGTTCAGTTTATGTTTTATCTCGGATAGAAATTGATTTTTGTAATAGGTCAAGAGTTCAGGAAAGCTAAAAAAAATAAACCAGGATCTGTCTTTTTCTGCTCCCTAAATACATAGGGCTGCTTTCCAGCACACATTTCATTTTCAGGTGAGTTCCTTTGTTGCCATAGCAATATTACTCGTGTTTGGAAAGCCGCAGCTTTGGTTTTCTCCCAGGCCATGCTGTCACACGCAGGCAGCACCCCGAGCCCAGCACAGAGCCGCACTGAGCTGCGCCGCAGCATGCAGGCAGAGGGGGTCCTGGGGGAGCGCAGGGCTCCCACCCAGAGATGCTCCTCTCTTCTCATCCTTCCACCCCACACCTCGCAGTGCAGCTTTGCAGTAAGGTCAAAGGAACCCCGGTGGCTTTACTCATTAGCACTTATTAACAGTGCTTTTCTGGCTGAGCCCGCAGCTCTCCCTCCGGGCACTGGAGCAACATGCAGCAACCGGGCACATGCAGCAACGAAACCTGTGTGTGCCCCAGAGAGCACAGAGTCCCGAAAATCCCATTTGCTGCCACACAGGTGTCTTCATTTCCTTGCTCTGCAGATCCCAGGCCCAATGAATTTATTTTATTACTCTGCTTTAAATACTGCTGGACATGCATTACGGGGGTCTGTAATAGCATTAAGAAAGGCACAAAGAAAAGGGATTCCCTGGTAAGGGAATGGTTCTGTGGACATTTGGGTGATAGGTATTCTGTACATGTACTAGGGATTGAAATTTGATTTTAAGTATTTGTGTATTAAATATTTAACCTCGTCATGTCTAAATCATTTGATCTGGACAGACGGGATTGCTGGGCTGACGCCGATGGGATGAGCTTCAACACAACCAAGTGCCAGGTCCCGCAGTTAGGCCGAGCAACTGGAAGGCTGTGTGGGAGAAATGGACCTGGAGGGGCTGGTCAGAGCTCAGCTGAACATCAGCCAGCAGTGTGCCAAGTGGCCAAGAAAGCCAATGGCATCCTGGATTGTATCAGAAATGGTGCAGCCAGCAGGAGCAGGGAATCGATCATCCCTCTGTACTCAGCACTGCTGAGTGGTACTTTGAGTGCTGTGCTCAATTTTGGGGCCCTCGCTACAAGAAAGACATCAAAGTGCTGGAGCGTGTCCAGAGAAGGGCAGTGGAAATGTGAAGGGTCTGGAGCACAGGTCTTATGGGGAACGGCTAAAGGAACTGAGATTGTTCTGTCTGGAAAGAGGAGGCTCAGGGGAGACCTTACTGATCTCTACAGCTGCCTGAAAGGAGGTTGTGGAGGGTGGGGGTTGGCCCCTTCTCCCCAGTAGCAGTGACAGCATGATAGGTACCTGCCTTAAGTTACACTAGGGGAGGTTCAGGTTGGAAAATAGGAAAAATGTATTCACCAAAGGAGTGGTGAGGCACTGGAATGGGCTGCCCAGGGTTGGGATGGAGTCACCATCCCTGGAGGTGTTCGAGAACCGTTTAGATGTTGTACTGAGGGATATGATTTAGTGGGAAAACACTGGTGGTCAGTGGACAGTTGGACCCAATGATCTTGGAGGTCTTTTCCAACCTTGGTGAGTCTATGATTCGTATCATTAAGTTATTAAAATATTTAATGTTAAATTCAAAATTATTTTTTTCTGTACTTCTCTAAATTAAAGCAGGCACAGAGGGCCACACATTAACCTAAAACCCTCCCCGTGATGCCATAGCATAGCTATGGCTGCGTGCTGGGCGGCTGTTCTGCTGCACCACCATAAGCTGTTCACGTAGATCACGTTTAAAGGCTTTTTTTGCTCGCTTTGTTTGCTTGCTTTCGTTTTTTAATTCTGAATAAGCCCCGTTTGGATTAACAAACAGAGGCTGCGTGCACGCAGCAGACCCGTGGGTGCTGCAAGCCTTGCTGCGATGCAGGCAGCAGATGACAACCGCAGGGCTGTGTGGCTGCAGGGATGATGCAGGCAGAGCAGCAGACAGCAGTGCTGGGGGCACACAGCCCTGTGACGTTTCCTTTCTGTGGGGGAATGCCACCGGTGCAGCTTAGGGCTGTGGTGGCTCCCAGGATTACCCACGCACAGCCCTCCCATTCCCGGCAGAATCGTTGTGCCCAAACACAATAGGAGCCTGGAAGAAAGCAACGGCCTCGACAATGAGTTTCTCTGCTTTTATAGGTTTTAGTGGAGCCCATTGTGCTGCATTAACACCCTTTTTTGTATTTCGATTCCTAATATCTTTGACTGGGGGAAGGGTGGAGAGGGCACCGATTTAATTCGATAATCCCCCTAAGCCTTGCTTAATGCACTCACTCTATTTTGTGCCTGTGAATTTTATAGTGGTATTTTGGGTGGTTGCAGCACTGCACTGGAATACATCCCACCATTTATTTTGCAGCCATTGGAGGGAAATGGCTGGCAGTGCTGAGCAGCCTATTTACTGCGCTCACATTGTCAAACCCAGCAAACCGTCAGCCCAGATGTGGTCGGATCCCGGGGCTGCAGCAGGGATATGGGGAAGGGAGTTCAGAGTCTGCCTGCAAATTGCCCAAATGAATATCTAACCATGAGCAGAAGGCTTCCTCCCTCTGCCAACATTCTGAGCTGGATTTGGGCTGTGGGGACAGCTCATGGCTCCTTCTGAAGGGTACCACGTGAGACGTGCCTTTGGGCTCCCAAAACTTCATGGCTGTGCCACGAGCAATTTGCTCCTAGCAAGAACTGGGTGAAGCTGCTGCAAGATGAGGTGGTGCTGAGCCATCCTGGGAGCATCTCAGAAGGTTGCAGCAGAGACAAAAAGTGCCAGTGTAAGGGTCAGAGTGTCTGGGGCAGCTGGCATGCAGCAGCAACAAAGCTAAGATGAGAAGAAGGGGTTTGGAAGAGGTCAGGATTAGAAAGATGCTGTCTGTAGGGAACCAGGTCATCCAATGAGGAGAAAAGAACAAAGGAAGAAAAAAATATTAAGAGGCTGAGATCTACCTCACTGACAGAGAAGACAGAAGGGTGTCCACAGACATCGCAGAGAGAGCAGGAGACCTCAGCAGGAACATGGCAGGGCTCCTGTAGTTCAGCAAACTGCCCAAGAATGTGCAGAACAAAAAGATGCTTTTATTTTTTCACATATAGCCTGTGCAATTGCCTTCCTCACTTCTCACAGCCCAGCAGTAAGGATGTAATGCCTCATGAAAATAAGTATGGATGGCTGGAAGTCTGTCTGTAAGGCTCTCACTTGCCTTTCACAGCCTCACCCCACGTCTTTCAGTCTTCCATGCTATTTCTCATCACATACCAGGAGAGTTTTCAGCCACATAGAGCTCATAAACTCTACAGAAAAGTTTTTTTTATTAGCATAAAAGAAAGAGACAAAAGGGTAAGTATTTGGAGGTGTTGAAAAACACTTCACCAGACATTAAATTGTATTATTTATTCTATCAAGAAAAGCTTTATGGGACATTCCAAAAACGTGAGCCATCTTTAAATGGAGATAAGAAAGAAAACACACATACTAGCAAGCTGTTCCTAAAGCTCTGATCAGTTGAGGCAAAAAAACAAACTAACAAAAAAAAAACAAGTCAATGGTGGGAGATTTTGAAAATTGAAATCCTGAGAATGTTTAAAAAAAAGAAAAGAAAAAAAGAAAAAGAGTATTTCCAAAAAAAAAAGAAAATTAACAAGAAGCTGGATGCTATAAAAGTGTGAATCCATCCACTAAATGATGAGAGTTCAAGAGCTAAATGAAATAACTGTCCAGGAAGGTGGTGGAGTCACCATCCCCGGAGGTGTTCCAGAACTGAGGGACGTGGCTATGGGCATGGTGGGATGGGGTTGGACTTGGGGATCTTAGCGGTCCTTTCGAACCTTCTATGATTCTATGAGAGTCACTGTTTCCTACAGAGGAATTGATGGAGGTTTCCAAATCAAAGTCCTCTTAAGAGGAATGAGATTGAAAAGTTTCCTCACAATGAAGATCAGCAGAGAAGTCTTTAAGCTGAATAAACAAAATTAATGGCAACCAAATTCCAATATGGGATGGCACTGACCAAAAGTCCTTGAGGAAGGCTCAGACATAAACTGCCTCACTACCTGATAAGTTTGAAGCTCATTGGCCATAGCAAGCCTGATATTGAAGGAATGGAACAAAAAATGAAACTAAACAAGGATAATACAAATTAATACCAATGGAAGCTACAGATAAATAGAACTGGGCTCTGAACTATGACAATTTAATGAGGAGATGCTGGCTTCATTGTGCTGATCGTTCTGCAGTGCCATACATGATGCTCAGAGATAGTCAAAGGCAAACAGGAGGGAATGGGAAACAAATAAAAACAAGTGTTGTGATGCCAGTGGACAAACTGCAGTTTCAGTCCTCCCATCTCAAAACGGGGACAGCAGCGTGAGAAAAGGTAGAGGACAACAGAAAAGAGTGGGGCTTGGAGCTGCCTTGAGTGAGTAGGACTGGGCTTTTGCTTTTTGGAGGGGACACACAAAAGAGGATGTGGTGCAGGCCTCTGCCCAGCAGCTTTATCAGTGGCTTTGGAAATCTGTTAGAAACTCTTACTCTTAACTCTTCCTGCTGTGGGCAAACAGCAAGGCAGTTTTCTAATTTGTCACCTTGTGTGCTTATTCATGTTTAATTTCTATTTTTATAAGACTGTACTAAATGAGTATCAGCTTATTAACAATGTTCACGTTATGGATATTGATGAATATATTTAGAAAATTAATGTATATTTTTATTTAAATAAAACCAGCACTTTAAAAAACTCTTAGAACTTGGTGGGGTCCTTCACAAAAATACCCATTACTTTTCTAAAACCACATTAAAATGCAAAAATTCCGACAATGTAGAAGAGAAAGGATAGAGGGGTGTAAGCGACTTGGTGGATGGAGTAACAGCAGCATTTGCATTCCCAGCTCTGCGGGGACAGACATGATGAATTCTGAGCCACGCA